TGCTGAGGGGAGTAGGACATGACTGAGTCTGGTGCCATCACACTCTCTGGCAACTTTGAAGGAAAATGAGCCCTGTTTTCAGAAGGCACCAGTAACACATCTTTGTAGCCTACCTATTTGGAGTTTTCCTGAAGAATCTTGTCCCATGTCAAACAGGAAAATCAGCTATTCTGCCCAACGCTGTAGGTGAAATGTGAGAAGCCCAAAATAGAAAAGAGGAATTTCCATCAACACAAACATGCGCTTTCTCCTTTCAGAGAGGAATAATCATCCCATAAAAAAAGGAAAGTGATTGACATTGAACCAGAGGGGTAGCATAAGCCCGGGCCGTGGACTGTGAACATGGCACAAAGGCTTTGAAGGATGAGATACAAGTTCCTCCTCTTCAGTCTTACGGGCGTAAGTGCTCCCCTGGTGCTCTGAGAAATGTAGTTACATATCGCTATTTCTCATCTGTGGAGGAACCCGTGCAATGCTATCAGCATAATCATAGACTACATTTGCAAAGTACTTTGGCATCTGTAAAGAGCTTCCTCATATTTATTTCATGGGATCCTCAGGGTAACCCTGGGAAGCTGCCAAGGTAGGTTTTATTATCCCTGTTTTTACAGAAGAGGAAACCGAGGCACCAAGAGATGAAATGACTTCCTTATGGTCACACAGAAAATTAGTGGCAGAGCCAGAATTTGAACCCAGATCCGTCTGCCACTGGCAGTCTTGTTCTACTCTTGGCCTTGCTGTAAGACTGTCCATCTATTGCCTTAGTGGTGCAGTGGTTTGTCTGCTTTCTCCTTCCTTCTGCCCCTCACCTCCGCTTACTTTTATGCTGTGCCTCGTTCCCCAAATACTCTACCATTTTGCTTCCAAAAGTGTAGTTCACTAGTGTGGTGAAGCAGCAGCACCTGGCGACTTCAGGGAGCCTGTTAGACATGCAGGATCTCTCCCACCCTTGACCTTCAGCCTCAGATCCTAGGTGTTTCTTATGCACAGTCAAATTCAAGAAGCCCTGCTCTACCACATCTACCCACCCAGGCCTGCCTGATATTCCAAAATGGCCCCTTCTCTTCCCTTCCCCGTCCCAAGCACCATGAGGGCTTGAACAGTGGAATTTCACTGATTTCCTTTTTCCTTCAGGAACTTCTCCCATACCAGTCAATGGCTTTAAGGCCTCAAAACAACTCATTAGGCCTACTCAGTACCCTCATTGTTTCTCCCCTTAATCTCGTCCACCTTGGAGTCCTGGCCCACACTAGCAAGGAGTTCACTCAAAGAATTTTCTCACATAGTGCCAGTAAGGTGTGCTTTTTTGAGAGATGAGCACAGACCCCACTGTTTGCTTGAAGAAAGGCCAAGATAAGACTTGGACCCCACCAACTGCTCTTGGGTAATCAAAGAAACCTAATTTGAGTTTTTACTTCCTTCTCCTGCAGCAGGAAAAACAAAGACACTTGGTAGCAAAAGGAGTGGGTAGAGTGTGTGTGGATAATCCACAGGCTGAGATGAGCCCAGATAATGTCAATCATTGGTTTTGTGAGAGAGAGAAAAGAGAGAAAATAAATAAATAACTTGAACAAACTATTCTCTCATTCCCATGCTTTCCCTCTCTCCTCCTTACTCCTCCAAACTTTTAAGAAATTTTTTAAGAGCGCTAATAATTGTCAGATCCTCTCAGGGTCATAGGTCAGGGGCATTACAAGTTTAAAAATAAACCATGATTAAAAAAAAAAAACAGCACAGAAAGAACAGTGAAGGCTTCCTGATGAAAAGAGAAACAAGAAAAACACCCAAGATATAGGTTTTAGGTTCAGCAAGTGGAGCTTTAAAAGTTCCTAAGGCCCTATGCTGTTCCCAAGGGTGAGGCCCAGGAAACGTGGAGGGGGGCATTTTTCCTTGTTCATGTCAGCGGGAAACCCAGCTAAGCTACCAGTGAGGCCAGGGCATGTCTTGCACCCTGGAGAAAACCAAAAGGCTGACATGCTCAAACCAGCTGAAACTTACGGTAGACCAGTTGGAAAGAATGCGGTATTTGTTGATTTTTATCTCTATGGTCAGGACAATGTCTCTGGAAGGAAGAAGTGGGGTTGACCTAACCAGAAAGCATGAGTGTCAACTGGAAATTTATTTATGGTTTCCTGCAAGGTTGATAAAGCTGAAAAGACTGCCCAATATACACAAAATGGGAGTGAGGAGGGGTGCAGGTAGCATGCCTAGGTTTCTTCTAGAGAAGTGCCCTTTGGTCTACCCAAATGGCTTTTTGTCAGGTCTCAGCAAGGTGGAGTGTAGTGGTTTCTCTTTAGCTCTTATGAAAGTTGAGTTCAGTCTCCGGCTGGGTCATTGTGGGTCCTTGGCCACTTAGGTCTAAGCAGGGGCAGAAAGAGCTAGAAGCTGCAGGAAGGAAGTCTCAGCATTTGAAATGCCAGTGTTTTCCAGGACAGGGTGTCTAATTTTAAGAAGAAAGTGTTTCCTTCACATCAGTACTGATTTGTAGTTTTGACTGCGTCTCAGCTCCTAGAAACGCCCTCAGAGTTTACAGAGGATTCTACTTCGTATTAAGAGTCGGTGCACTGAGACTGGCTACAGTGTGGAGTGAGGCTCTTCATCCCCTGCAGCTGTGGGCTTTCTTTGGGCCCACTCCCTCTCTGCTCTTCCCTTGCTTCCTCCCCACTGGACACACAGAGAGAATAAATATAGCTGCAGAGCCCCAGGCTTGGTCCAGACTCTAAGAAGGTGGAACAGTGCTATAACTGCATTTCAGTTTCATGCTCCAGTGTGTTCAAAGCAAAATAAAGATGGGGGTGGGGGGCAGGGAGCAGGGGAGGGGGAATAGAAGGGGGAAGCATTTGAACAGACTCACTTCTTACTTAAGAAGAGAAGAAAGAGGCCTGGCTATATCTAATCTACTCTAGCACTGTCAATTTTCCCTTAAATCGAGAGCTAAGAAGTCTGTGTATAATCTAATTCTTACTCAGAGAAATATTTTATCTTTTGCACATGTGTCCTTGAGGGCTTAGAGGTGTGAGGGCTTGGAGGTTCCAAACCGGTAGCCAGTGGGCAGGATCCAGTGTGCAGACCTGCTTTGTTTGGCACATATAATGATCTCCTCTTTGTGAAATTAGTTTCCAACATCAGCAGGATAATGATTTCACATAAATATCCAAATTTCTACCATTTCTTGACAAATTAGAAGACCTGGCTATGTTGAGCCCTGCATTTCACTGAGCAATAGTTACTGATTTAAGTGGGGCTTAGGGGTCACAGTTCACCCCAGTTCCTACCACTCCCTGCAACACTAATCTCAACTGTTTTATTCTTACCTTATCTGCTCGTATCAGAAAATGGTTTGTAAATTCTCTATTTTGTCACTCCAAATAGGTCACAACCACCTTGTGGATATAACAGCACATTCACTTGGGTTTTTATTTCTGAATCTCTCTAAGGGCCTTGCAGGAGTCCCTTAAAGATTAGCCTTACCTCTGCCTAGGATATTTGGGTAGCTCTTTATGTTAACAGAAATTAGAACCATGGAGAAATCTGGGAGGAAATGGTTTAAAAAACGTGAGGCTATGAATGAAGCTCCTTCCTTTGCCTTCTCTAAAGATGAGCATCTCTCCAGATCTGCTTATTGATTTTCTTTAAAAAAACAAAAACAAAAACAAAAAACCGTCAGAGCAGAAATCCCAATCTGAGTTGCTTTGAAATAAGAGGCTATTGAAACCCAAACACTCGATTATTATCATCATAATTTATAACAATAACACTTGAGTAGCAAATCATTTTACTGTAACTTTGAACTTGGACAGGCATCAGTCTCTGGAGCTAAGAATTCTTTTTAAATTCCACTTACTATATAGTCAGCTGTGAAAATTTTATAGTGAATAAAACTTTATTGTTATAGAAGTAAAACTTACATAATATAAAATTAAGCATTTTTAAAGTGTACAATAGTACATTCACAATATTGTGCAAGCTGCCACTTCTATTTGTTCCAAAACATTTGCATCGCCCAAAAGGAAACCTTGTACCTATAAAGCATTTGATTCCATTCCCCTCTCCTCCATGTCCCTGCTAATTACCAATCTGCGTTCTGTCTGTATGAGTTCACCTATTCCGGATATTTCATGTGAACAAAATCAGACAATATGCAACATTTTGTGTCTGGCTTCTTTCACACAGTTAATGTTTTCCCCGTTCATCCACATTGTAGCATGTATCGACACTTCATTCCTTTTTATGACTGAATAATATTGTGAATACATTTTTATTATTTTAAAAAATAGAGTACCTCCTCTTGGTATTTCTGATTCTTTTTCTCATTGACTGCTTATGTACCAAGGGTGACCAAGACTTGCAATAAGAGAGGAAAACAGGTTTTTTACAAACCCTCTCATGGAGAAGGCAGGAATAAAAAGGAATGTACTTGGAGGGATGTGAATGCATGTATTTCAAGGGGTGGAGAGAGCAGAGCAGTTGCCCTTTAGTAAAGATATAAGTCAAGTTTATGTTGCTTACTGAATTGAGACTTAAGGACAGAGTTTTGGATAAAGTAGAAAAGGCAGCTTTATATTTTTGCCAGGCAAGGAGGTCACAGTGGGCTAATGTCTCTAAGGCTATGAGCCTGCTGGGGAGAGAAGGCAGGGGGTTTTATAGTAAAAGTTCAAGAGTTCAAGGGGCAGATCTCATGGAGATCGCATACAGGGAACAATTGTTGCAAAGTTGTCCTTGTTTTCGCGGATTCAGTGGTCCCCTTCCCTCTGCTGGATATGAAGTTCATCTTTGGCTTTGGGACTCTTTTAATGTTCTTGTACCTAGAACAAAGGATGCATAGAAAGGAGCTCTTTGGAAAAGAGCTCTAGAGAAAAACTTGTGCAGTTTAAAGTCAGGTTGATAAATGCTTTTAGTATTTTAAGTACACTGAGGCCTGGGATCTCCTGCTTTGGGCTGAAGCCTGCAGCTCAAACAACAGGATACAAGGAAACCATGAGGGGTCAAGAGGAGGGCACTGGGGTCAAGAGTAGGGCCCTGAGCATAACTGCTGCACACAGCATCAATGAAGGGGTTGGACAGACCACCCAAGCCTCCCTCCTCTCCAGTCCAACCCTTGTCAGCAAAAGCATGAGAAAAACCCTTTAAACCATTACACAGTTAAGCAATTACGAACACCATTACAGATATCAGATGGTCACCGAGGATGACAGTAGGATCCTGCTCAGTTACATTTCCCTCAGGCTAAGGATGCAAATTGCCTTTCACAACTTAGAGTTACTATGAAAGAGTTTGTTCCCGAGTTCTCTAATTTCCTTTCACCCATGTAGCCACCTGTGAAAGAGTGACTGGAGGATTTGGAAACTGAGTCAGAGACCCAGAGATGTTCTCTCTCCACCTTCCAAATGTCCTGCAGAAAAAAGTTTGAACCACAGAATAGAAGCAGCAGCTGTCACATCTTGAGTTCTTGCCAGGTCTCCCAGTCTAGGCCCTCAAAACAGCCCTATTAGCCCTACTTCTCAGTTGGAGAAACTGCGGCAATGCAAGGTTAAATAAGTCACTTAAGGAGGTCACACAGCAGGTCATGGTAGAGAGCACAGATGGCAGCAGTTTGAGTGCAGAACCCACACTCTTAACCAGTGCACCTTCTGCCTCTGGCATCCCTCTTTTCTCATGAGGTGTAACAAGGTGCTTACAGTTCCTCTGGCCACTTGGGATGGGGGTGAGGTATGGGAGAGGGAGAAGGTGGCAGTGGCAATGCCGACTCCACAAAGGTGAGGGGGTGCAATCTGGCCTAGGCTCCACTCACAGCAGCCTATGTGCCATCTTGGATAAGACAAAGACCCTCAATGGCTTGGTGGTTTACCATTTTGGCCTATGTGGGAATCTCAATTTCCCAGGCCCTACCTCTGGAGAGTCAGATGCAGCAGGTGTGTAGGACACAGAAAGATGATTTTTTTTTTAAGCAGATCCCCAAGTGATTCTCTTGTCATGTGGTCCTCAGACTACACTTTGAGTGGTATTTGTTATTCTCATCCAAGATCCATTGTTGTTCTTTTTCTCCTTTGGGCATCTTGGAGAAGCAGCAGTTGAAGAGGCTATTTTTGGCTAATAAAGCTCTGATGAAGGTCACAGGCTCACAAGCCAAGAAAAACAGGTCCAGGACAGAGCCTGCAAGAGGAACACGGGGGACTGCAGAGCAGACAGCTACTCAGAGATGGGGATTCTGGGTGTGCACTCTAGATGCTCTAAGCCCTGGCACCATATGTGCCCATTAATTTTTCAGTTGTCTAAAACAACAGAGCTCCAGCTCAAAGTCAGCTTCCCTCAACACCCAAATTGCTGAGTCACACATCTCTGTCCTGGCTCACCTGCCTCTGCAGCCCAGGGAGGAAGGCAGACAAAGCCCCAGGTACAGAGCCCTCTTGGGCTCTTTCCCTCTAATGCAAGGAATATACTATGGATGGAGGGAAGAGAAAATGCAATATTCAAAGCCATTTAAAAGTCTACACACCAATTCTTCTCTTATCTCTCATGTCATAGGCTGAATTTAAAGAATGAGAATTAAGTGAAAATTCTCTCAAAAAAGTTTTTTTTTATTGGTTCAGCAATTCCTTAATTCCTGAAGCTTTACCCTAAACCTTTTAGTCTAGAAATGTACTTGAGGATCTCAGGCCAGAGATGAGGTTTTGACACTGCATTTCCCTGTTAGATCACATCCATGCTGGAATCAGTTTAAAAACTGCCTTCCTAAGGATGAAAATGTGGCAGATTTTAAGTGTCTTCCAAGGCACAGCGTTGAGGAACCTGACATTACAGCCTGAGGCTCTTAAAGGGTACACTAAGATCATGGTAGGAAAGGTGGAAGACAGAGAAATGAATACAGAAGAAAAAAAAAATCACCCCTAGATAACCACTGTCACTGCAGCAGTGTATTTCCTTCCACATATTTAATATTCATAAATATATTCTTTATTCAGCTTTGTGTATTTTTTCCTTTCTCTTAATATTTATAACATGAGCATTTCTCCCACATTATTGACGAGACTTTGGTAATGTTGTATTTAATTCTACATGATGTCCCACACTCTGGATGTAATTTATTTGACCTTTATTTTTATATGCTAAAGTCATTTCCACATATTTGATTTTTACAGATGAGCATTCTTTTGCATTTTTCTTTTTAACATTTTATCACATCTACATATTCCTATATATGAAAACACTATCAAAAACTCTGAATTCTTTTAAGGCTCCTGGTACATCTTGCCAAATTGCTTTCCAGAAAGGCATTCTGATATGCATTCCACCTGCATCATATAAAAAGTGTTTATCAAACTTTTGCCAGCAGTCCATATTATAATTTAAAATGACACAAAAGCCTTTTTCAATGTGAGAAGTTAAAAATGGTCTACATTTTCATATGTATTCCTTTGATACAAAGGGTGAGTGGTTTACATATTTTTCTATTGAGGCATTGGTATTTTTCTTACTGATTTTATTATATATTTAGTTAAATATATCTATTATAATTATATAAAATAACATCATAAATTATAAATATATACATTAAATCTATCAGGACAGAAAATGGGAAACAGTATACAGTACATTAGTCTCTTGTTTTAAAAATTTATTGAAAATAATGTTTCAAGTTTGTCATTTTTTGACTTTTTGGTGATTGTTTTTGACATACAGAAGTTTTCAATCTTGTGTGGTCAACATGTGATTTTTCCCTTTATGATTTCTTATACTACTTTTTTGATTAAAGAGTCCTTGGCCATTTTGAATCTTAATTATTATAATTACTTATGTTTACCTTATTTTTATCAGTTAAAAAGTTGTTTAATTCTGATTTTTATTTGTTTTGTTGTGGGGTTTTTGGTGTATAATATGGCATGTTTTCAATTTTTCCCCCCAACAGAGCCAATTTTCTCACCCCAGTTGATTCCAAAAGGCCTTTTTAGCCAGATATAGCCTCTTCCAAAATCAGGGAATCTCCTTTCCAACTGTCTTCAGAAAAGGGTGATTGGATATGGCAGTTTCAGCTAATAAAGCAACTGGACTGGTTTTCTACCTCCTATGTGGCTACCAGCTAACAGGGACTAGGGAGCAGGAGGGGCCTACCTGGAGTCTGAAGGGGAGGAAAGAGTGGTGCACCCTTGCCCCCTCCCTAAGCTCCAAGGACAGGTCAGCTTATGAGGGTAGAAAAGCTCTGAAGAAAAAGGGGGTTTACAGATCTGGCCTCTGCGCTCTTTAGAAAACTCCTTTCCACCAGCACTGTCAGCTCCCAGGTTGCCTGGCTTATTGGAGATGCTTCCTGTAGCTGATCATTGTCGCCAGCTCCCAAATGTTCCATTGCAGAGCTCCGTAATCAGGAAGACCACCAGCACCCTGAGGCACCTGCTTAAGTCTGAAGGATCTAAATCCACTCCCCCAAAACCAAAAGAACAAAAAACTAATGGTGTCCCTTGAACCTGAACATGAGCCCCATCCCTTGCCCTTTAAACAAAGCTGGGCTACCCTCATACCACCTATGTGAGCACTTTACACCCAGAAGTAAGCAGCAGGACCTGTCTACAGTATTTACCCAAGATCTCTTTTGCATTTGTAATCATTGGTCCTGATTTCTCAAACCTTGATTCACTCTATCTGTCTGCTTTTGACATCTGCTCTGTCTTTTACAACTGCTTTGGATTCTCCTCTCATGTCTTTTCATCTCCCTTGATTTTAATGTCACTGTAACATCAGATAAAAGTCCTCCTTCTGCCAGCCTAAGTCCCAGAGAACTTTCACTAAGTGCCCCTGTAGCCCTCTTCCAAGGAAGGAGGCACACAGGCCATGGGATGACCTCTGTGAAAGATAGAGACTGGCAATTCACCTGACTCCTGACAGCTTGCATGCCCTTCCTCTCATCTTGGCCAGGTTACTAGGGCATTCCAGAGAGATGGCAAAACAGAAGAGACTTGGGACATCTCAATGCTTGTCAGTTGGTTTAGCTCTCACTATGTCACAGAGGGACACATAAAAAAAACATAATTGTCTATCAAGCCAGATGAATTGAGTAGATCCCACTGATCAATGGCTCAGAAGATGGGGCCGCCCAAGACTCTCACATCCCATTCTGTCCTCATCCACAATTTGATATCTGGGAACTAGAGTATGTGTTTCAATTGACTGCGGTCTACTTCCCATGCAATTAAAACTACAGATTAATGGCCTCAGATACTTCAAAGGCCAGACATTAGCGAAGTCTTTTATTAGCCTCTGTGATCTACGTGTGGTCATTGTGCTGCTCTGCCCGGCCCTGAGACACTGAGTGATCTCATGAAACATAACCTAAAGCATGACCTTTCACTGCTCAAAATCACTCCAGAGTCCTTGCTGTGACCCAGGAGGCCCTCTTTGCACTGGCCCCTGCCTGCTTCTCTGACCATCTCTATCACTGTTCCCTATGCTCAGTCTCCTTTAGCCACATGCCCTACTCCATAATACTTCTGGACATCTCAGTTCCTTTCCCCCTGCCTGGAACATTCTCTCCTCTGGCTTTTATGGCCCCATTCCTCTTCATGCAGGTCACATCAAATATCATCTCCTCAGAGAGATGTGCCTTGATCATGCTACTTAAAACAGCAGCCTTGGTCACTCTCAGTTCTCTGCTTTCTTCATAACCCTTTATCTGACATTTTATTCACAAAGAAATGGACCACACACACTTACAGTTTGATTTATTATCTCCCCACTAGAATGTAAGCTCTAGAAAAGCAGAAACACTGATTTGTTTATCTCTCTATTTCTGCACGTGGATCAACCCCTGACACAAAGTAGACAGCCAACAACTGGTAGCTTAAAAATATTCAAATGTGAATACCATTTACATAAGTCTAGGGAAAGACTTCCTTCCAAGACCCCAACTATAATAGCTTCTACCACCTATGGTGGGCTCTGTGATTCTCATGATAGGGAAATGGCTTTTAATCCAATCTTCAAGGGATTGCATAAGAAGAAATATTCTGGAAAATAGTATTTAATGAGATTTACGTGTGAGAATCTTTCACATAGATTAGCTGGTTAATCCTCACTGAAGCCCTTTAAGGCAGGCATTATCTCCATTATCACAGATGACAATGAGGCTGAGATTTTATCTCGCATAATGCCAGGTGTATTGAAGGTGGATGATTCAGGAACTCAGATCTATGTGACTCCAGCAGCCAGGCTTTTTTCTCCTAGGTACACTGCCTCCCATGGAATATTGTCAGAGATGCTTAACATATTTTATCTGTTTAGAAAAAGAGAGCTCAGATGACTTAACCAGTAACGCAACTCCTGAGAGGACAGGTTTTTGACAGCTACCCAGTCCGGCAAGACACAGCATAAAATAAGTAAAGATTAAAAGACCATGAGACATTTGTGCTCTACCCCTAGGAACTAGCAACCTCTACATGTTATGCTGCAGTGGACAGAGTAGTTTCTGAGGTTTTACCTTCCAAAGATGGTGGAGGTACTGAGTTTTTGGAAGGAAACAAGACAGGAAGACAGCTGGTTCTTATAAAAGACAATATATATTCACTTGCTCATTCAATAAATATGTATCGAACGATGACCTTGGGCTAGGCACAGAGCTAAGTACTGGGGAAATAGTGATGAATAAATAAGATAGATATTGCCTTTGTTCTCAAGAATATTAGAGGCTAAAAAGGATCTTTTGAGCTAAAATTATGCTGCTGCCATAAAATTATGTTCTCATTTATTCACATGATCAAGAAAAATTTATTGACTACATATGACATGCCATGTTTAAGACTATTGTATTAAGAGAAGGAAATAAAAGGGTGAGCAAAACTAGACAATTCCTGCCTGCATGGAGCTTACTGCCTAATGGAGAAGATATTAAATATTTACATGCATACCAGGTGCTCTGAGAGCCTACAAATAGGAGAAACTGGCTTAATTAGATTAGGAGATTCCTGCTTGAGGTACTTACCACTTAAACTGAGGTTTGAAGGATGAATAGGGGTTAACTAGGCACTGAGGGGGAGAAAGAACATTCCAGACAACTCAGCCTGTGTGAAGATCCTGTTGGAGAAGGAAAGGTGGTGAGCAGGAAGGATGGTGAAAGAGGTCAGTGTGGCTGGAGAGCTGGGAATAAGGAGCGTCCTGGTCTCCGAGGGCTGGAGCAGAGGGCGGGAGCAAACCCTAGGGTAATGCACCTGCCCAGTTGGTCTCTAGGTTAAAAGACACGGTACCACATCAACTCCATGCTGGAGACACAGAACTCTGAAGTGGAGAGGCTGGCGGCACCAGCAGGCAGGAAGATTAAATGCTCACTAGGATCTACAGTAAAATCAAGGCTCTGCCTCTTACAACCCACGGTGACAATGGAGGGCGGAATATCTTTTCCGAACCTTTCTTTCCAGACTGCCGTATTCAGTAGTGGAACAGAATGCTATTTGGGGAGCCTACTGAATTAGATTCTTCATCTGTTACCTGTAAGCTCTTCAGCTATTAAGTGGGAATAAAAATATCTTCTTGTCAGGGTTCTTATGAGAATTAAATAAGATAGTGTATTAAGGCACTTAGCACAGTGCTTGGCTCATGGCAGGTATTCAAAAAATAACAACTTATTTCTCCTCGTCTGTTAAATGGAGACAATGATAATGCTTGCTACCCCACGTGGTTATTAAGATCTGTGATTAGATCATGTATGTGGAAGCCTGAAGCTAGGCCTCCTCTGCGCAAGCCTGTTTCTAATCTGAAGAGTCGGGAGCTTACTTTTTCCAGAGGCTGTTCTGTTTGTGAAAGCCAGGCCATTGCCTTCTTTATGATGCATAAATGATGCACCATGTGCCTTCTTTTAAAAGCGCTTTCTCTTTCCCCACGTTTCCAGGTTTATGGGTATCTTTCCACTTACAAATCTGTCCCACAGCAGACCCTGCACAAGAATGCACAGCCATCACGCACAGCTGGGCCCCCTGCCGCGGCGCCGACGGGCAATTTGCCCAAAGAACCTGAGGCGCGGGGCGGCGCGGCGCGGCGCGGCGCGCGGGCCGGGCCAATCAGAACAAGTTTGGCCCTCTGCAGTTTCCGTCCGCTCACTAGGAGGCGCTGCGGAGGCCGCGGCGGCTCCCGGGCTGTCGCGGGCCGAAGCGGTTGGGCTGGCGGCTGGCGCTC